ATTTAATTTTGACCACGAGGAGCGAGAGTTTATAGCCAATAACAACTGAAATCCCCATACTTTCAATTTCTATTTAAATGCACAGGGGAAAAAAAAATACTCTCGGTGAAAAGTTGTGACACTTCTCTAACCAAATTCTTGAACCGGACTTTTTCCGCCCCCCCCCCCCAGCTTTGATCAGCTACATGTCGAATTAATATATTATTTTTGTTAGTTGATCAGTTCGTGGTCTATGTGAACGTAAAATTGTTCGAATAACAGCTGAAAAAAAGCGTTTTTTTTCCCTTTACTTTTTTTAATGCTGACGTTTCGGTTGGAAGCGTCGATGAAGAAATGAATTTTGAATGAAACAAAAGCACAAAAGGAAGCAGCAGCAAACGATTGCACAATTCTACATTTTAAAGCCGAGAAGAAAAGAAAGGAACAGAGAGAACTTATACATATTAAGCACGTTCTCTTTTAATGGCGGCCATATTGGCGGAGAGACAGGTGTGTACACAAATTCAAAATAGGCGCTCCAGAGAACGTTTATTCAGCCGCTGTACGTGAGTAAAATTAAATATCCCTTTTCTCTCATCGAATGGAAAAAACTAAATTCCCTGACGCGTTTTTATCCTTTCACGTTCGTATAATCGATCTTGAATCTGAATTTGACCCTTTCTTCCAACCGAAAAAGTTTTAAATTTCCTTTTCGTTATTTTTAGGCTTAGGATGATAGATTTGATGTCAGGGAGAAATTAATGTCTTATTTTAATAAATTATATTAATGCAAAAGTTCATAGATTGATGAAACTTAAAACCTTATGTTAGGGTTGTAGATATAATTTTTCATAACTATTTTTTTTGAAGTGTGTTCTCGAAAAGAACAAATTTGGGACAATGTTATAAAACTTATTTTTTTTAAATGTTCTTAAAGTGTTGCGCTGAAAAATTATAAGAAAGTGATTACATAATTTCGTTGTGATAAAAATATGTTTAGTAGTTAAAATGTATTAGTTCCCGCTTAAGTAATATATTCTCATCTTGCAGCTCTGCTTTTTGACAAAAATATTCGATTTTTCTCAGACGCTACCCTATTTTAAAGTGTGAATATTCCATCTCTTTTCGTCAATTCTCTGTCGTGGTATGAATTTTCGTGAAGTCGGTTTAATCGTTCTTTATCAATCTCAGCTGAATGGTCAGAACACAGTGTATCTTTCAGATCGAAATGTCCTTTTTTTAAACTTTGCCCTTTTCTAAAAATAACCTTTTTTTACACCAATTACGAGTCGTTCTGTCAGTTATGGCACTCGATCCATAAACAGCTCAAATGTCACGAGCAGCCTTTGCGGCAATTGTGTCGAAAAATGCTGATTTTTCTCATCTAGCTTTTTGCTCTGCACAAAGTTTTCCATCTCAATGATCTGAAAATCAGCATAAATTTTAACTCGAGCAAAAACTAATAGTAATAATAATAACAAAACATAGATTTCAGTAGATCAAAAGGGTTTTTTTCCCCTTTCCTTTCCATATGTATTATGCCTAAATCAGTTCAAGGAAGTGATTTTAAGACGTTAGTACCTCAACCAGATAAAACGTATATTACACAATCTGTCGATTTTTGGTAATTGATAGTAATATGAAACAATTAATTTTTAGATGGATATAGCATTGTTACTAAATAAATTTTTGTTCAAAAGAAAAGTTTTGTTATAAATGCATCAAAATGGTTAAAAAATAAATCGCGGTCAGCTGGCTTTCAAAAATTAATTTTAGTTGCCAGTGTGGGAAATAGGTAATTTTATTTTTCCCTTTTTTTTAAATTAAAAAAAAAAAAAACTTCAACTCAAATCGTATAACGCATTTCAATTACTCGCCTACATTTACAAATTACATCACCAAAAATATTTCCAAATTTTTTTCTTCTTAAGAATTACAAAATATTGTTTTGTGGCAATTTCATCACCTTAACTTCAATTTTTTTTTTATTCGAAAACCGAAGGTTAAAACGGTAAATTAGAAAATAAATTGTGTGCCGATACCATTGGAAAACAGACAAAAAAACAAAAAAAAATGAAACGGTCTTTAATTTGAAAATAGGGGAGATCCTTCTCTTTTTATTATAAACAAACAGTTTTGTGTTAATAAAATGCTATGAAAACTAACTTTTTATTTGAATGCAAAATATTTTCCTATACTTTATTTACTTAGTATGTACTTAGTAAAAAATACTAAGTTTTTTAAATTATTACTTATTTTTTACTAAGTTTACTAAATTATTACTTATTTTTTACTACTTATATACTTAGTATTTTTTATCAAAATAACATTTAATCTGAAATACACGTTTTGAAATTAAGAACTTGATTGGTGCATTTTAAGTTTAACGATCTAAACAGATTTAAGTAAGAATGTTCAAAAAAAATCCTAAAATGTATTTTATTAATTTTTAATATTTAAATTTTTTTTTACTGTAGATTGTTTTCAAAAATATTGCTAAAAGAATTATTAAATAAAATACAATGACATCACTTGGAAACTATCAACTGTATCGTTCGAAAAGTCGACCGCCGTTCGATTGTTTATCCTTCAAAAGCTCTTCGTCGCGGAACGGACCCACTGTTTGATGAATATGATTCTGAATAAAAATTTAAAATTCTTTTCGCAATTAATATAATTTTTTTTAAAGAAATAATTCATAACATAATATATCAGATATACGAAATTCTTTGATTAATGATCTATTAAGTTGTTAAAAATCTGAAAGTTAAATTAATTTAATATAGAAATAATACTCGTACTTTTTAAAACGATTTTATTCAAAATAAAAGTTAAAAAAAAGATTAAATCCAAAATTACATTGTTTATAGAATCGTTTTTATAAAAAGAAGAAGAAAAAAAAATCTTTTCACTCTTAGATATTAATAAAATAGTTCATATCATATAAATCTCGGATATAAATTATTTAAATATATTAGTTATTGTTTAGTTAAATTTATTAAATTAATCTGAAAATTAATTTCATCGAACAAAGAAATACTTTAAGTTTCTTTAAAGGAAGAAAAAAATATATGAGAACAACAACCTTCTGAAGGTAATCCTCAAAGCTAAGTGGGGGAGATATCCCTGAATAAAGTGAAATAATAACTTTATTATAACGTACATAATACAATAACCCCGAATAAGTAAACACGTTTCACAGTTGATTAGTGTTCACCCAAATATAGTTTAAAATAGTAAACTTTTCGAACTGCGCTGTTTAAAAACTGAATGTCAGTGAATCGGGCGCCAGTGATCTTACTTTGAGTGGCCTGCCAGAATGCATTCTGGAACGGGGTGAACGACCAAGTTTATATATATGTATCATAAGAACAAAAAATAAAAACAAGAACAAGAGAGAATAGAAAAATACAGAAGTTGCACGGAAAGGGGGAGGGGAGAGGAATTGTCTGAGTACGCACGGATTGCTCTCTTGGTCCTTCTTTTTTTTATTTATTTATTTTTCCATCTTTGATTTCTTGTTGGGTTATTTATTTTATCACAGACCGATTAAGGATTTTTTTTTCTTCTTCTTTTTCTCGTTAGTATGATAGTGTTAGCGCCGTTGTTTGAAGCATTGTCTAACTTGATTGGTATTTGTCTGCTGTCTCGTCTAGGTGCTTCTGTTCCTGTCGGAAGCATTGTTTTCATATTCTTTCCATCCCCCTCCTCCCCTTTCTTTCTTCATTCACACATGATTGGTGTAAGATCACGTGGTGAAAAGCTTAGACTTGCTGATATGTTATCACAATGCGTGTGTCGCACTTTTTTTCTTTAAAAAAAAAAAAAACCTATTTACGCTTTTTTGTTCATAAGCCTTTTTTCCCCCCTCTCTCTATTAATATATTCATCACAATGTACCTCTCTATTTCTTGACAGAAATATTTAATTTTTCAGAGACGCTATTTAATATTTTTTAATTCTAATATTATCGAAAAAAATTCCAATTTGCATGAAATTAGTATTATAATTAACTATTTCGTGTAGGATCGTACTAATATTCAACAAGGTGGCGTAGCGTTTTTAAAAAGTGATTAAAGGTGCTTATTTTCGATTTTTGCTTTTTAAAAGTCCTTAAAGGTGCTCTTTTCATTGGATGTTTTACAAGTATACAAGTTCAAGTACTTACTTTTCCCTTTTTCAAAATGAGATTTTTTTCCTTCACCATGTTGACTTTCGCTTCGAATTATCCAAAAAGACACAGTTCACATTGCTCTATTCAACGTTTTCACAATTAATTAAACCCCAATCTATGTCGGCGTATTGTCAGTCCGTAACGCATGAAAACGCCATTCTTTTTTACATGATTCGAAATTTCATGATTTTTAACAAGTGTCAAAAACAATGCCATAAAGGTTTTTTATTTTGACATAACCGCTAAAACAAGATAAAACCGCCAATTATTAAAAACTTTCCAACTCTGCCTAATTATGATATTTTTTTTTAAGTGCTGAAAAATATTTTTGAGTGCTTAAAAGGTGCTTATTTTTAGTTGAATAATTTGGCTACGCACCCTGTAATATTTAAACATGTTTTAGTGATTTCGGACCGCCCCTCTCCCTTATCGAGACAAGTAAAGTGTTCGCAATTTTTACGTTAAAAAATCGTAACACCTCCACCTTTACTGTTGTAATCTAAATTTAAGAATCTTATCATTAAATTTGGGTATTGTACCACAGTACAGTAAAAGCATGTTTGAACTTTGGAATCTGTAAATAGCAGTTATATTTAAAAGCTGTATTACTGAGTTCTGCTGTTCAAAGTCCTACGCATCCAACCAAGGGCATTTAAAAAATTATTCACGGTGTGGTTATTGGTATTAATAATGTGGTTATCACGAGATGAGCTCTGAGACAAGTTGTACAAGTGAGCTCATCTCTTAATTCCCAGTTCTAAAGTTAATAATTTTTTTCCAATCAAAATTATCTGTTATGGTATTGGTGTGTGGATATTGGTATCAATAATGTGGTTTATTATTTCAGAATGCTGATGAAAGCTGTGATCCTACTTCTAAAAAAATTTGTACAGAGAACTGTTATTCATACCCATATGCTGTGGATCCAGTGATGGTGTACTATTATGGTCCTCATATGTGGGATAATGCCTTCCAAACTTACCCTGTGATCACCAAAGATAAAAAAACAAATCTATATATTCCCCAAGACCCTCACCTTATTCAAAAAAGGTAATTTATTTCATTATTAGAATTTTAGTTCATAGATTTTTATCATAGGTGCCCAAGAAAAATTTTTGGAGAAGGCCAGGGCCTACTCAGAACTGTCGTACTGCTGAAAATGAAGACTTTGATCATTTGTGATGTGATTGTTGCTCCTTTCACGAAGCTAATAGAGCCTATTTTTGCTCATAAAATTTTCTTATATATTGTTAAATGCGTCGTTTAAGAAATTATTTCCATAAGTAATTACTCGTCTTGTTAGATATTTTTAATTTAAGAATCTAAAATTAATAATTTTTCTTTTAAGTTAAACAATAATTATTGTTTAGCTTATAGTAAATTAAGTCCTAATTTTATTTTGAAGATTTAGAATGTTTTAAACTTGTATTTACTTAAAAAATTATCCACTGTTAATGCATTGTTTAAATTAATTATTTTTATAAAATGTTACTTTCAATGTTAAATTATTTCAATTAGCTAAAAGTAATTGAAATCAAACTGTACTTTCTATTTGTTGACAGAAATTTCACTTACTAGTGTAGCATTAGATATTATTGCTTTTTGAAATGTAAAAACATACCAAGTGCAATACTTTAATACAAATATTTTACCTGTGTGCACCACAGATAAATTTTCAAATTTTTTCTTATGTGTTACAGATCAATACAGAGGATTCTGTTACTGAGATTTGCTGTTTAAATATTCATTAACTACTACTTGTAATAGATTTAATTAGGTTAAATTAAAAGTTTTTATGGATTATGAAAGACACACATAAGTAAATGTAGCAGATACCCTGTATTTGAATTATAAATACAGATTTTATTATATGAAAAGTTAGAACACAATATTCTACTCTATTGCATATCCCCAGAATAATCAAATTAATAAGTTCCAAAAAGTTTTAAAAAGTTGTTTCTTGTTTCAATCATATAAATAGATGTAATAACCTAGGCATGGCTTCGGAAGGCAATGGTCTTCAGTTTTCTTTCATTAAAATCAAAATTGTAAAGTTAGAAAATAGGATATGTTAAAACCATTTACATGGTTATTTAAGAAAGCCTCTTGAACCTAAAATTCCCCACTAACAATGATGCAATTTTTTTAAAAATTTTTTGTTTGGGGGAATAAAATTGGAAAGGAAAAATCATTTTTAATAAACAAGCGAAATTCAAGCAAGATTCTAAATGAAAAGCTCCATCCAAAAAAGAAAATACTTGGAGAATTTCCTAAAATATTTTGCATAGAACCTTGCAAAAGACTAACAATAGCTTTGCATTGAATTATTTTCAGATTTAAAAGTTTTACATAATGTGTTTTGTATACAATTTTTCAAGATATATCTTGAAGAAAAATTTTTTAGTTTTTGTAGATGAAAATGGATAAATGGAGGGTTAAACAAGCTTGGAGCTTGTTTAACCCAAGATTCATAAATATTTGTCTCACAGAGCACACAAAATTTTTAAACGCTTGTAACTTTTAAAGTAACAAAGATATAATGAAATGAATTTCTGAATACTAAGCAGATTATTAAAAGAATGTTTATGAATAGTTATAGGGCGAAATCGGGAAATTTTGTCTTTGGCCAGTAGCCAGTTGAGAAATTTTTTTAAAACAGTGGTCACTTTTTCAAAAACAGAACATTTTAAATCACTAAAAAGAAACTGTTGATATTAATTATGTAAGGCACTTCTTTTGAAACATGTCCTAAAATCTGTTAAAAATTACAAAATTCAGTTCTAAAAAAGAAAATTTTTTAGAAACAAGCGTGAAATAAATAAATTCATAATAATTCTAAATTTATTAAAAAATATAATGTGCGCATGGTAAAAGTGGTGTTTCAATGGCGATTGGCTGACGATTTTTAAATCATCACTTGTTATATTTAGACACTTTGTAGCTGATTGCAATCATTAATTTTGCCCTACGTATCTCCCACGCTTGTCTCTAAATTTAAAATTAAGCCCTTATAGTTAAAAAAAATGTTTTTTTATTGAAATCAAATTATGAGCTACTGGATATATTTCTGAGAACTTTTAACTCGAGCAACAAGTTGAATCAACGAGTTCGAAAATCGGTAATCTGCAATGGATTTCCTATGGAGATGACCTGTTTTTGTATTTATCAATTTAATATTTCAAAATTACAAACAAGACAGTGCAACTGCACATAATTTTTGTATTTAAACTGTCATTTCTTTTAAGATACGTTATGCAGTGTTTAATTTTAAGTGCATTTGAAACATTTCTTCCTTCAATTAATATATCTTGTTTGCTTCCTGAACTAGCTTACCTAATTTTCGAAACCGATTATCGCTCACTCCTGCCAATGTCCAGAAACTGATGCCCATGATAAAACTGACCGAAGAACAGCAAACTGTTCTGGCCTATCATGCACACAAGTCTGAAACAGCTAGTAAAAGATCTCAAGTGAAGAAAGACCCTGACCAGGACCCCCTGTCTTGTTGTCTTGACTCAGATGATACACACTCAGACACCAGTTTTAGTACTCTTTCTGGTAACACAATTAAATCAATTCTTAACTTATATTTTTATTTTGTACCTGTTTGTAATACTTTTAATCAAATCATTTGCAATTTGGCTTTGTTATTTTTTAAATGTATAAAGTTTAAGTTTATTTTTCCTGAACAATGTTGCCACTTTTTTGTGTGTTTATACGTGATGGGAATCAATCTTATACTTTGTCAACCTTCATCTATCAAAAGGTACCTCTAGATCGAATCAAGTTGCCATGTGTTATATACGAGAGAATTGGTATTTAATATTCATAGTGGTAGTTGCGCCACATTCCTCCTCTTCTAGAATTTTATCTGTGATAGAATTCGATGAACACATTCCTCTAGTTGATTCATGCTGTTTATTTATTTATAACATTTTTGCTCATTATATTTTTTCTTCATTTTTTTGTTTATAGCATTTCGCTAATTTTCGGGAGACTTTATTTTCATCACTGGAATTTTTTTTTCATTGAGCAGTTTATATTAAGCAAATCAACTGTTTAATGTGAACCATCCATCATGTTAGCGTGTTCAAATCACATCCGCAGGTACAATCAATCAGGTATGATTCCAGTTTTAGAGCAATCTCTGGTAATACACGAATTCTCTCTATTTTTTTTTCTTGATTTCTATCTTTATTTTGCATCTGTTTGAAGTACTTATGATCTAATAATCTACATTTTGGCGTTCAGTGTTATTTTTAAGTTTATCTTTGTTTGAAAATGTCACCACATTTTTGTATGTTGATGCACTGTTATGACACCAGTTTTAGAACAATTTCTGGGAATACATGAGTTCTATATAATCCTGCTTGATTTCTGTCTTAATTTTATATCTGTTCATGAAAAATAGTATGCATTATGGTTTTTAATGTTTCTACATGTGCCAGTTTAGTTTGTCTTTATTAGAAATTGGTGCCACTTGTTTTGTACTTTTACTGTAATGTTGAAATAATTTTCCAATTTAATTCAGAAGATTATTTTACCACCATTTTCTGAATAAAAATTTTGATTTATGAAGTATCTGAATAAGGTTCATTTTAGGGGGATAAAAGCATCCATCATACTTTTGCCCTTTAACTCTGTAAGAAATAGGAAAACAACTTTTGAACAACACTCCTTGCATGAGAGAACAACATTTCTCATATGGAAATAATTGTTTTCAAAGCGAAGCATTCTCTTAAATTTGTTCATTGTGCTTTTTTGCTGTACTCTTAGACAAAAAAGAAAAAATTATTTTCTCTTAATAAATATTGCATTGTGAAATAATCCCTTTCCCTGCTACCACTTAGATGCATAAGGTAATTTTGTATCTTGTGTTATCCCATTTTATGCCCCGTATTTTATATTTATGCATGCTTATATTTTTGTGTCATTTTATTGCAATTTATCATGTTTGATATCTCGTAATACTATGTTCATGATAAATTGTACTTAATTTTTCAAATGAATTAACAAAAATGTATTTTGTGTGTTAACTACTAGTAAATATTCTTTAGTATTTTTTAAATTCATACAATATACTGAGTTTTAAGGTTAGAGGCATCTAAAAATGATTTATGGACCTAACCATAGAAACATAAAAATATAAGATTCATGTGTATGAAATATTGCTCAAGTGAATGAATGATCCTTAATTCAAGAATTAACACTTGTACAATATTTTTTTTGGCTTTAAGTACGCATGTATACAGAAGTTAACAATCTATGAAAAGAGAGAAAATCTGTTTAATGGTTTCAGTATTTGAAAGATGTGACTGTATCTTTCCCTCATGCCCTCATATTCACCTACATATGTTTTAAAGTTATTGAACATGTGCACTTATATGAATATAACATAGGAGTATCTTAATTAGAAGGATTTAACAATACCGTTTCATATTCCCTTAGATTCACATACATATATATATGGAGTAACTGTTATTGCCCATGTATTTTTTCTTTATTTCTACCCATGCTCAGTCATATACCTTGCATGTGCACATGAGCATGTAAAATGGTATTACAGTACACTCTCGATATCTCAAAGTTGAAGGGACGCTAACAAAAATTTCAAGATAGCAACATGGTGCATAGTGTTTTTAAAAAGTGCTTAAAGGTGCTTATTTTCAATTTTTGTTATTTAGAAGCCCTTAAAGGTGCTTTTTTCATTGCATGTTTTTAAAAAGTGCTACTTTTCCAATTTCGAAAATGAGATTTTCTTTACCATGTCAATTTGTGCTACGTATTATTCACATTGTACGATTTAATGTTTTCACAATTCATTCAATCACAATCTATTTCGGCGTACCATTGGCCCATAGCGTATGGAAGTGCCAATCATTTTTCATGTTAGATGCATCACTTGCGAGTTCATATGTGTATATATACTGATCTCATGTGCTACTCTGCTGCATTTTGCAAGATTGTATTCTCAATTTCAGACTTCATATCGAACCCTCTGATATTGAACCGAAAAATTTCTTGATCATTTTATGATGGCTAATATAGTCAAGAAGAGTTCTTTGTCAGACACTAGTTATTTTATCATGATTATGTAAAGTCCTTGAAAACTATTTTAAATTTTGTTAACGTATATAGTGCTAAAAAATATTTTTTGAGTGCTTAAAAAGTACTTAAAAGATGCTTATTTTTTGGTGAAAGATTTGGCTATTCACCTTGAGTGAGTTTTCAAAATAACAAGCTCAGAACTAAATATGTTCTAAAAGGTCGCAAAATATATTCTAAAATATTACTCTAACAAGTAAGAGACCTGAAACATAAGAATAACCACTATTAAATATGTAAGTAATGATAGTTGACTATAAGTCTGAATCCAACGATAATAGTTTTATTTTTAATAGTAAGACAAAAATAATTATGCATTAAATAGAAAAATAATTGATTTACAGTAAACTTATTTCGTGATTTTTTCCGAAAAATTCGATTTCTGTTTCGAAAAAAATTCGATATAACACGATTTTAAAATTAAACTCTTTAACATAGGAATTCAAATTAACATTAGGTGGATTTGTGATACCTAGGAGAAAAATATTTTTTTGACAAAGCAAGGTTTTTGAGGTTTCCAAGTTTGAAATATCAAGTGTATACTGTATTAAATATTTCTAGTAATTGAGTCCACGAAACAGATTTTTTTAAATATTTTTACTGACTACTGTACAAATATGGGCTTGAACAGTTTAGGCCGCCCCCCAAAAAAATTTCTCTGACTGGTATAATCTATGGAGTAACAATTTGTTATTAATGGGATGTGATGGAGTTGGTTCCGTAAATACATCACTTTATTTAAAATATTCAATGTATTTATATAATATAATATATTTAATTATATATTATCTAATATATTAATATATTTAATTTCAATTCTTTATGCTCATTTATATATTCTCTTTACCTTTACTTAACATCTTCAGCATTTTTATTCATTTCTTTAATTCACTATCTTTTGGGCTAATCTTTATTAGGTGAAGGCTATAAAACTTTAACTTAAATGGAACTGCATGAAAAATTACCTTAATTAATTCCATTTTGATATGGGATTCACGTTTTGTTACGAATTTCATAGTTAAAAGATCTGAGATACATCATCTACATCTTTTAAGAGGTTACACACATCTTCAAAAAGAAAAAAATAGCATTGTTATAATTATTTTGGGATCAGCAATGAAAATTAAATTAAATTTTTAGTGAAAGTTGGATGTATTATCAGACTCTTGGCAGCAAGACTTATTTTCAAAAAGTTTATTTTACTTTTTCAATAAAAATATAGAAATAAATGTATGAATTATTCCTAAATTTAGTTCTCTGCTTTCTGCTACATTTTCGAACTCAATATAACGAGGCATCTTAATGTTAGCGTTTTACTTTTGTTCAAAGTGTTTTGTTTTTAGCATTTTATTTTTGTTTTAAATTTTAAAGTGAATTTTGTACAGCCTTCATGATTAGCCCAAAAGATGAAGAATGAGATTAAATGATTAAACAAATCCTTCATAGTAAGAATATTTTTTTGAACTTTTTTGTGTTTTATAATTTTAAATAAAGTAATAAATTTCAATGATTATAATAACAGCTTATGATACACTGAAATTTCATACCAAAAAAAAATTTAAATTCCTGCTGCCTATTTATTTAAAAGTAATTTAAAGTGGGCAAAAATATTTTATTCAGCAGGAACAGAGGACGGTTTGGTATCTAATATTGAAGAAGATGAGGAATTTCAGCAGCACAGCACAGACAGTGAATTTCTTGAACTTAGGAAGATTTTGACTGATGTTGATGCTTCACTTCGCACAAAAATTATGTCTGAAGTTGAAACGTTAATTGCCAAGTACCGTAAGTGCCTCAATGTTGCTGTGCAAGGAAAAAAACTCTATCAGATGGTTAGTATTCATTAAAAAGCCATTACTTTGTATGAAAAGACGCAAAATTTTTCATGCCTCCGTTCCTTTTAAGTTTTTGTTGTGGCCAAATCTGACTAATTTATTCTCTTTATTTCTGTTTCTTCTAAAGCATTCTTTACTTTTTTTTTACTAATATGTTTTGTACTGTTAATTCGGTATTAATTTTAATTTGTATATGTTTGAGGCCATTTTCACTTAAATGTCTCATAGTTTTTTGTCTCATAGACCCCTTGCCATATTTTTGGTTTCGGGTGGACCCCCTACTTACCTGATATTGATTTTTTATAAATTCATCAACTTCAAATGTATTTTTGACTGCTGGTATAGTGCTACTCACTGTAAAAGATTTAAATATCTTACTGTAGTGAAGTGTAGTGTGAAAAACTTAAGGAAAAAAACAGCATGTTAATTTTATACATTTATTAATTAAATTCAAATTAAAACGAAGCAAATTAAAAGTTAGTAGCTGTTATCTAAAATAACTAAGCAATAAATAAATGCTTTTAGTTTGAGGGATAAACCTGAAAGATCGTCCTGGGTTGAAGCAGCTAAAATGGAGATAACCAATTTGTTGATCCATCTTAATATCCTAAAGCTAGGTTTAATCAATCCTAGTCCTTAAAAATCTGAAGTTTATGTTATAGATGTTGTTATCTTGCCTAGTATAATGTTAATAAGTATTGTATGTTATTAGGATGAAATGCATTGATGTTTTTTGTAGTTAAAGGCCATTGCCTGATATTCCCTACTCTGATTTATTTTCTTAAATTAAAGGACCATTGCCCCAGTCAGCCCAAATTGTTTGGCTTTCCCAAATTTTAGGTTTTTGATGTAATAATGGAAGTAAAATCCATAAATTTATTTCTGTACAGCATTGCATTCAAACTTTTCTTGACGAAAATATAAACCTCTAAAAAGGCTTTCTTTTTATATTTTAATGAAGTATGTATGTATATTGTTAAAATACGTATTAATGAAGATTCCAACTGTTGAAATCAATTGCTGTTTTAACAGAAAAAAAATAGACCTCGAGGAAAGGAAAAAATCATTTCCCCCTTCAATGATGCGCAAGGTACAAGCAATGGAACTAAAAGAACATTTACATAAACAATTAATTATACATACCCTGCATCCCAGTGTATAAGTCAATTTTTCATACCCCCAAAATTTTGCCAAAACACAATAAGCAGTGATATAGATATAAATAACTCTGTATCAATTTTTACTCCATTCAAAAGCTATTGTTGATTAAGATTGATTAGATATAGGTTTATGGCTAGTTAAAGGCGAAAACATTAAAGTGTTTTCCGGCTGTAATCGAATAAGATTTGTAATTTATAAATTTTACTCCCCAAACCAAGATTTATAATTCAATCTTCTGTATGTTATGACTGAAATGTTATCAAACTTTTGTTGTGTGATTTATTTTGAGGAAACGCTGATAAATGACAATTTTTTATTTTTATAACTAAATTATTCAGCATAATTAACGAGGCTCCCAAGGCTCAGGGAGAACAGAAAAAAACATGGAATTGTCAGGGAGCTTTATTCTGACTCTGAAAAGCAGAGAATAATCAGGAAAAATTAAAATTTTTTACAATAACCTGGAAAATTTTTATACCATGCCTCCAAAATAATCAGTCTTTAAATCGTCAGTAACTCTGATCAGTTATTGAGATTCGAGTTGAGTAATTCTAGCATCCATTAAAATTATTTTTTGTAAATATATCACATCTTGGAGAAACTTTCATGCTTACTTCTTAATTGGATGATTATTATTTTCTTTTTGCTCACAAAATCTAATACTTGACTTTACAAATAAAAAATCAAATTTTTTGATGAAAAATTGCATGGTATGTATAAAATATGATCTGGATTTTCATTAAAATTTTCCTAATATATCTGGAAAATTCAGGGAATTTTTTCTGAAACTGTATGGAAACCCGGAATTTAATTTTTTAAATACATTTTAGCATGCTGAATGTTTAACCATTTTGCATTATGTAATGTAGAAACATACAAAATTTTGTCTAATAGTTAGTATTTGCAGTATCTGTTTAGTTAGTTGCCAGAGAAGTTGCAAAGACCTTTTTTTTTCCTTCAAAATTGTATTGAAAAAAAGATGTTTTATTTATTCCCCCCCCCCTTCCGTTCATTTTAAAAGCTCTAATTTTAAAAATAATTTTAGCTTGTTTTATGATTTAAAATGTAAATTTTGATTAATGCCTGTTTTTTTTTTTTTTTTTTTTTTTTTTTTTTTTAAAAANTTTTTTTTTTTTTTTTTTTTTTTGTTTTTTTTTTTGTAAAAAATTAAACATTCACTATTCAGCACATTTTATTTATATTATAGTTACATAAATATTAATTTATCCCCTTATTTCCGAAGCGTCACGAAAAAACATCTACATGCAAACTCCGGATAGGTGTTGTTTCGTGACTCTCCAGGTATATAAGGTGGGGAAGGTAGCTTCGCGGTTGTTGGGGTTCATTGGGGGAGGGGAGAAAATAGGATTGTCAGTTAACATCAATTAGTTCCCTCCCTATGCATTGTTGAAAAGTTTTCTCCTAAGGTTGNATAAAGTTAATAATGGTTTATTGATTAGATCTAAATGTAATTACTAGTTTAAAAATTGTTTAAAGAAATACCCTATCTCTTGGAGCCCCTTTAACTTTCCACAGAACTGTGCAATGTTGCCTCAGGTTAACCGATTATCCTTGACCCACAAGGGGGGCCTTGACAGTGTGGTACTGGTTTAAAATTAATGCCAATTGTAACAAGGTTAACTTCTTTACAAAAATATTATTTAACTATTCTTCAGTATCTTTTATTAATTACTGATATTATATGTGCATCATTTATATGCATAAATTTATACTTATTTAATAGTGGGCATCAAAGTTCTTTCTTACAAAGAGGGGAATTACTGGCCTAATATGACCTGCCTATCACCTCACCTGTGATATTTAAGAGCCAGTAACATTTTTCTATGAAACATGAAATGTTTATTGTAGAGACAGATTTTCTTTTACTTCTGAAGACAGGATTCGTATAGTCATTTTTCTAGTATATAATTTTTTCTCTCCTTATTTTTCTTGATTTTTAGCTTTTTGTCCTGTCCTGATATTTCTAATTTTTGTGTTCAGAGCATCCCATTCTACGAACATAAATTTTGATTTGGGATTAATTAATTTATATTTTCAATTCAATATCTTTTCATTTCAATTAATATGACTAGTAAAAATTGTAAAATTCAATAGTTTAAGCTTGGGAACTGTTCACTAATTATATATACTGGATTTATGCATTCAAATCTTGCCCGTAGGATTCATTGTTTCAGTTTTTTTAGGAGTTCAGTTGTTTGATGAAAAAGAAACTCAATTAACAATTTTATATTATCACACTTTTGTGGTGAAGAGTTCTGGGCCTTCCACTTTTTTATTATTTTTATCAAATTCAGTAACCAGTCTAAGTAGTGTGGAGTTTTGAAGTTTCAGAATTATGGATTTTTCTCTTTCTAACTGATAGTGCAGTAATCCTATAATGGAATTTTTAAATGATGGATTGAGGGATTATCCACAAAATTATTTTTGTACCGAAACATTATGAAAACTATTCAATGTGTTTTTCATTTTGTGATTATTGAAACTCTACTCTAAAATTATTTGATTGAGGAAATCTTGAACTCTATTAAATTTTTTTAAAATAAATATTGATCTGCGGGAAAATTAGCTATTTGATATAGATTATTTTTATAATGCAATAATTCTATAAGTGTATTTATATATTGGTCTCAAATTGTTATGAGTTATTCAAAGCTCCATTTATAAAATTATGCAGCAAACTGTTAAAATGTTCTGTTCTAATTTTAAGTAATTCTAAAATTAAAAATATTATATTTTATTATTCTTTTGTTTTAAAATTTGCCTCTATTTTTCTCAAAGTAGAACAAATTTTACTATTTTTTTGTCATTTGTCCATGTTAAATATATCCTGGTATATGTTTTAAAATTGTCCCAATTTTTATTGGTATGCAACAATTCTGTAAGTATATTATCTATATATTGGTCTCAAATTATTATGAGTTATTCAAAGCTCCATTTATAAAATTATGCAGCAAACTGTTAAAATATTCTGTTCTGATTTAAGTAATTCTAAAAGTAAAAATAGTATATTTTATTATTCTTTTGTTTTAGAATTTGCCTCTATTTTACTCAAAGTAGAACAAATTTTACTTTTTTTTGTCATTTACCCTCATTAAATATATTCTCACACAATTTCACAATTAATTCAACCCCAATTTATTTGAGTTGAGTATTTGTATTGTCAGTCCGTAGCGTATGAGAACGCCATTAGTTTTACATGATTCAAATTTTCATGATTTTTGACAATTGTCAAAAACAATGCCAAAAGAATTTTTTTTTTGACACGACAGTTAAAACAAGATAAAACCGTTGATTGTCAAAAACTTTCAAACCCTGCCCAATTATGATATTTTTTAAAAATATTTTTTGAATGCTTGAAAAGTGCTTAAAAAGAGCTTATATTTTGTTGAATAATTTGGTTACGCAACTTGTTCTTGTAAAACATTAAAAACCAAATCAAATTCATTGTTAATTTTTTTTTATATTTTGAAATTAATTACACTTTCAATATATTTTCCATCATTAAGGTGTTCAGAATAAAAATGGTAAATCCAAACTAACCGACCAATTTTTGAGATAAATATATGACAGAAGGCTAAGAATATGTAAATTTTCAATTCAGACACATTTTGAACAGAAGGCTAAGAATATCTTTATTTTCAATTCAGGCACATTTGTAAGGTGGAATATTTTGGTAATTGCTATTCATTTGATTTTCAGCTTGTGAAATATAGATGTCCCGAGTATACAGATATTGGTACATTTATACCAAAATGATGGTTGGTTGACATCTTCCATTTTTATTTTCGGCACTTCAATTGTGATTTGTTTTATGATTTGATAATCCTTTTTTTTATCTATATATTATCGATAAAGACAGAAAACTCTGAATCTTTTTAGGAGCTGGAGAAGCTACATTTTACTCAAAAAGAAAAGCTACGGAAAATACGGGAAAAAAACAAGCTGCTCAAGCAAGAGATACTAAAGTTTCAAAATAACACAAAATCCACAGGTGAACAGTGTGAAAGCCAAAGTTCAAGACTGACACCAAACTTTCCTTCTTACTCTTCGATGAGTCCGAGCTCACCAGCAGAGCTTGAAAAGATAACTGTGACGACTGAAACTTTAAGTGCGGGGAGTGTTAAAACTGAAAGGAGTGATGAAATCGATGTAAATACGGAAGAAGAAAATAAAACTATTTCCGTCACTCCTCCTACCCCCTCCCTGCCAAAGCTACCCCTCGATCCAGATACAGATACCCTATGTCAATGAACTTTNTTATTCACAAGTGTTTCCATTGTTTTGATAATCACCATATTAATATATATATATATATATATGTACATGTCTACTTGCATACAATCAAAGAAACATTTTCTGTAAGGAAAAAAAAATAATAGAATTAACTGTAATGTTTCTGCTGTTTCGGGAAATTTTTGTTACAATCCGTTTGAAATAAAAAATTTCGCAGCACTTTTTCTCTCACCACCTTGGCTGTTTTATTAAAGATTTTGAAGTAGTTTTCTTTTTAACTAAGTTTGATTATTTTAATATCTGAAAATAAAAAGATTTTTGTCATTCTTTCGTGAAGTAATCATCAAAATTGTCATGTAACCAGGACAATGATCCATGTTTTTTTTTTAATTTTTTGTCATGATTGTTTAATGACTGAATAAGATATTAATGTATATGAATGTATACATTAATATCTTTATTTAGTAGTCAAATAATTGTATGAAAAGTATAAAAAAAAATTATGAAAAGTTTAAATCTCTTCTGTATCTAAAATTTTTAATTTGTCTTTTGAGACAAAAATTTTACATTTAGTTTTTAATGTAAATAAAAATTTTATTTATGAAATTGATATTTAAATATCATATATGTTTACAACTGTACATATATATTTAATTATAACAGTCATGCGGAATTATTTTACTGTGATTTCTAAAACCGAAATTTTTTTATTTGGTTCTGCATTTACTCTATGTTTGATACGAATCTTTTTATTTTCTGATTGCTTTATTACCTTGTTAATATGCTTAAGCAATAATAAAACACAAAATATATTAATTTATCATTATTAATTTTATGTTCAATTTGTGCTGGCCATTCAAATAGCACTTTGTTAATATTCAAAATTTCTTATTGTTGGATTCTGTTAAAATTCAGCTATTTCTACTTTATAATCACACACCCAAACTGTTCTGTAATCGTCAATTTTTGTGTTGCTTGTACTATTACTACTATTAGTTTTACTTTGCTACTACTAGTTATAATTTTTTTTTTTTTAACCTACTAGGACTTTAATTTTTCTAGAAATTGCTATCAAAATATATTTTTCATTAATATATTTTTTTCTGGCATTTTTTTAACATTTGTATTAAGTGATTAAATAATCATTTTTCTTAATTTTTTTTTATTAATTAAAGTATGATGTTTAAACATAAACAACTAGTCTCTACCTAGTCTTTATAATAAATGCTTAATCTTTAAATGTTACTTCCTTTTATTTTTTAGCCTTTAATTTTCAACTAAATTGCTTCATTTATATTTATTTGTTTATGATATGGATGGTGTTTTGTAAACAATACTGGAACTCAAACTTCTTTATATTTTCTTAGGAAGCCAAATCTTGCTTATGTTATTACATTACTGTTCTATTTTCCTACATGGCTCTATAAGCTTGTTTTCTTTTTGTAAATAATGAAGGTACTGTCTGGCTACCATGAGAACATCTTTAGACCCTAGATTTGTGCAATTTGGTTGCGGAGATAAAGGCACTTTGATCAGGGCTAACTGATTTGCATGGGTTTATGTTTGGAGAGTTCTCATTACTTCAATTCTTTCTCATCGAATATGGATTTACTTTTCTTTTAATAATATCAGAGCACTGGGCCCATGTCTAAGAGTTCGATCCTCGCCAGCCGAAGACTCCCCGAGTAGTAAATGGTGACTGATGCTCGTTAAATCTGTCAAGTCGCAAAATCCTCCATGTTCCCATAAGAAGTCGTAAACCCAAAATTGGGTCGGCTGTTCAACGACGGATATAAAATATCAGATAACCTCAGACTTTCAGTTAGGAAGAGTTGTCTTATTTGTTGGACAATATTTTCTGGTAAATTAATAATAATTATTGTAATTTCCATTTCTGACTAAAATGTCATTGCCTTTGTTGCTATTCTTCAAAGCAAAATTTTTAGACAGCTTGTTTTCTTTTTTATTGAAACAAATAAGTAAACAGTGGTAAGAACTAAAATTTGCTGCGACCTATTTATTCAATTCTGTGACTTTTTAAGTGACTATTAGTTTTAATAATTTATTTAGTTATTTTTTTTTTTAATATTTTATAAATTTTTTCAAAGAAATGAGGATACAAAAACTTAAAAAAGTTTTTATAGCAATGATACTTAAATCTCTCTTGTGATATGGGTATGTTTGTGCACTCATTGTTTAATTATACTTAATGAAAATAACACTGCTGTAGTAAAATTAATAGCAACAATCCTTCGAAGTTATATCGGATGATAAGAATGCGAGATTACAATGCCTTAAAAACACCATCCATACATTTTCACATTAGCTGTTTTAATAGTTTTGATTACTTTTTTTTTCATGAGTAATATTGAAAAGATATATATGTTTTATTAGTGTTACTTGAGATGTTATTAGTTTATTTGATTTTAAACTATATATCTAGATGTTTTTTTTATTACTTAACTAGCCCGGTGAGGAAATTTTATTGCTTTTATATGTTGTTCTGTTTTATTTGTTTGGTAAAGTGGGTAGGATACAAAATTGCAGAGGGAACTTCACGAGAAATATATATTGTTTTTGTGTAAAATATGTAGTGTACTATTGTGTTACAAAATTTTTATTTATTCTTTGGGTGTGTGAAGAAAAATTGAAGCTCAATATGTTGAATTTTATAGACTTGTCAAATATTTCATTAAAGTTTAATGTGTTTTATTTTCCATCTTCAAATGTACCAGCTATGGCCATTTTTTATATTTACTAAATATATATTTAACCAGAGACATAGTAATATGAACTTATTGTTATTCTATTTTTTTTTTTTTTTTTTAATTTAAAGNGTTTAATTTTTTTTTTTTTTTTTAATTTGACGTACAGAAGACTTTAAAATTTTAGTTACAGTGGCATGCATTTGGCATCGGGTATTAAAATTTATGAAGTCCCAAATATAAAGTTTTGAGAAATTGCAGAGAATTTGTTGCAAAACATTTTATTGTGCGGTACTATATTTTATTGTACATAACTGAAATTGAGGTGCTTTTACCAAATAAAATGAAAGCGGTTTGAATTTGGCAAAATTTCCGATCTTTCTTATAAAATTTGAAACAGGTATGAAATTGATTGATAAATTTTTAGTTTAATAAAGAAAAGGAATATAATGCATTTGTAAATAAGTATGGTTTTCTTTATTGAAACAAGGACATTTATAAAATGAAAATTTGTAGTTAAACCAAATATGTAGTATATTGTTGAGGTATATGAAGTAAACATAATTTAGCAATAATCTTTTTTTCTGTGGGATTAAAAAAACTTTTTTTTATTGCTTTGTAAAATATTGTAATTAATATTACAGCATTAGTTTAGCGAATTTTTCTCAGATTGTTTTACCTTTCTATAGGATATTTGTTTTCTTTAGTTACATTATGGTGATTAACTTTCTAAATATATATATATATATATATATATATAAACACAAATTAACATGAAAAACATGAAAAAATAAACTAAATTGTAAAGAAATATTATAAGCCACAA